CTCCATCTGCTGTCCAGCTTCTAAAGTTTTGTTCCCATTTGTTCCCATTCTCTTTATGTCTAGGGTTTTTCATTTTTATTTATTTTTATTTTTTATTTTTTTGGGGTTTTTCATTTTTAAAATGTATCATTTGAATGCAATTTCAGGAGAAAAGAGCTCAATTCATGTATTTAACCCAATGTCTGTAACCAGAAACATCATCAATTTAATCCAGAGTGCAAATGTTAGCACTAAGGTATTCAGAACAGAAACATTTACATTATAGGTGACAGCACTCAGATCAGATATGGAGCAACATTTTTCTATTCTGAGTACCTCAATACATGGTTGACAAACTACAGAATGACCAGGGAAGAGAGATGACAATGGTTCGAGATGCAAAACCAAATTATACGAGAAGCAGCTGAAAAAATTATTGATATTTATCAAGAGAAAAGAAGGCTTCAGAGATGCTGTGACAAAAATTTGAATGCAGCTAAATCATACATCTATGGGCCAATTATGTCGACTTTCCATTCAGAGGTTGGGAGTGAGAATATTATAACTCCTTTAAAATATTTAATTGTCTGTTACATTCACATGGATGAGACATTAAATTGATTTCAGGGGACATAAAAAGTATGAACAAACGAAGTGAAAACAAAAGACCTTTTGGTTTGGTGCAGTATGAGGAGAACCCACCACAGAAGTCAGAGACACAAATATGAACAGGGACCAACCAAATAAATAACAATGTGTGAGTTGGCTAAATAAAAATATTAGCAAACTGAAAAGAGTATGGCATGCATAACATGACAGCAGAATTGAAAGATTCCAACTTTTCAAAAGAAGCTATGTATTTTAATATTTATTTGTAATATTACAATTCTTAAACATTATCTTTAAAAATTCTGTATTTTTACCAAACATGTTGGGGGTGAATTTACCTTATGAGACCCAGTTTGTGACCTCTCCAATGCTTAGATCAAACTTTGGCTATTATCATTGGAATTGTTCAAGCAAGAATGGCGGGCCATGTATCAGGCACACCATAGAGAATAAAATTGAATTAAATAACGTCCACTTGATTTTTCACATCAGAGCCCTTATGCCTGAAATTTGATTTTTTTTTTAAAAAATGTAGTTCCTGTGGATTAATTGTGCTTCTTGTAGGATACCCAGTTTCTAGTTTTCCTTCTTGCCTCTTTTACTCTTCTTGATTATTTAACATCACTGTATAAACCACATGTAAATTGTGCTACTCATATGTGGCCATTTATATGTGGCTCTTTTAAAATAAGCGTCTAGGAATGAGGCACAACCGTAGGCTACATTGGTATGATCTACATAGCTATGATGTCCCGAAGTTGTGTTCATTGAATTATTCAATAGAAAAAAATAACATATGCATCATAGATTTATGCTAACTATAACTTAAAGCTTGGGATAGTATATTTGAGGTCATAATCCATTCCTCTAGTTTACATTTGAGGGGTCGAGACCTAGAGAAGTTAAATGACTTGTCAGGTTTGTGCCTGATACATAGTACATGGTGTTGGGGAGTTAGAGAAGGAAGAGAAGACATGACCTTATGCTCAGGAAGTTTACAATCTCAAAGAAAGAGACAGGACACCATACAAATATATCTATTAGAAGCAATTGAAGGTATAGAGAATTCAAAATCAAGTAGTTATGCTTCATTACAATTACTCCTCACAGCTTAGAAATTCACTAAAAACAAAAAGAATAAAAAATGATAGTATGAAACTTGAATACTGGACAATCTCCATGTTGTGTGGCTTCCCCATCTTTGGTTCGTGATCTTCCATCTCCTGCCAGTACTTTATGCTGGAAACTTTCATTATCAAATAACTAAGATTGGGAATGAGAGATGTAGAAAAGAATAATAATGAAGAGTAAATATTAGTCAGCTACAAAATAATTAGCAACCAAATAAGCATGAAAATGAGTGCTCCCTTAAATTTAGTAAGGAGATATTGAGTATTTTTAAAGAATTTTATTATATTTCTCTCCAATTCCCATAATCTAGTCTTGACTCTTTCCTTCCAACCCTGATTTCTTTTCATAAAGAAAATATAGAAAGTAATCATCTTATCTCCATAACTATGAATGCTGTTCAGGAGACAATTACTAAGTGAATGAAATTACAATTTAAATAATCCCATTTTCTTCCTAACATGTTAAAGTAGAAAGACATAAGTATCAAAAGACTAAGCCTATCATTTTAAAAATAACTCTCTCATGACTGGGAAAGTTTAAACACATACAAAAATAAGGTGACAGCCTTTCATGAAAAGAAAATGCAAGCTTTGAATTTTGGCGTTACATTTATGGATGATCTTCCAAGAAGATATGTGAAAGGTATTATTCATTGCAGGAAACTGGAAGGCATAATATGATAGAATAAGGATCACATTTTTCTCTTTGAGGTGATTTATATTTAAATGAGTTCTCCATAATCCTTTAAACTGAAGTGCAAATTGGTTATCAAAGTCCTTTGCTGTAAGGGTTGTTTTACATAATAACGAATTTCACAGAAGTTCCTCAAAGGGAAATATTGATTTAGGCGACATCACAGGCTATTTCAGTTACCACAACACTTTAGTGCCATATAAAAAAACTTTCTAAAATCTAAATTTCTCTATTAAGAAGTGTAGGCAATGTTTTTGTTTTTTTTTTCTTCAAATAAATACCCAGTAGTGTGATTTTTGGATCATATGGTAGTTCTATTTTTAATCTTTTGAGGAACCTCCATCTGTTTTCCATAGCGGAAAGTTAAAATCCCACCAACAGTGCACCAGGGTTCCCTCTTCTCCATATCCACAGCAGCACTTGTTTCTTGTCTTTTTGATACTAGCCATTCTGACAAGTGTGAGGTGATAATACTTGGTGGTTTTGAGTTGCATTTCCCTGGTGATTAGTGATGCTGAGTGTCTTTTCATGTACCTGATGGCCATCTCTGTATGCCTTTTTTAGAAAAATGTCTATCCCAATCTTTCCCCCATATCTTTTCTTAGAAAATATGTTAATAATAGAAATTTTTAATAAAATGATTGTTTTATCTACTGTTTCTCATCCACATTAGTGAGAATCTGCCATCCATGTGCTGGGTATATGGCTCTTGTTTGTAAAAACTGGGTTGTGTGAAAATAGTAGAAAATGTTCATTTGCCTATGTATGCCTCTATATGCCAAAGAGCTCCAATTACTGAGCCTTTCCTCCGTGCTAATTACTGTGCTATATAAGTTACACATGATAATATGATACTTTGTTTCTCACAATGTGAGGTAGGGATTTCTATCTTTATTTTATAAATGAGAATACTGAGGCTAAGTCAGTGGCGCATGAGAATCTGAACCAGAGTTTATTTCTCTCATTCACTATGCTATAGCACCAAACTCACATCTGCCTTCTTTCATCTCTGAGTCCTATATGGCTCATCACCAGGAGGTAAAGCTCTAGTCCGCACCCCAGTGATACAGTGAACACATAGGCAGGTTCCTCTTTGCTGTGTAGCTCAGGGACCTCAGGATCCCAACCAGTTCTCATCAGTTAGGAGGAACCCAGAGGGCCTCACGTCAATGAAATCCTCGCACTAGGCCCTGGGTGGAACCTGAGATTGAAATTATAAATGAGGACACTGGATTCACTCATGAGACTGGGGGGTTGAGACCCAGTTCTATCATACACTAGTCAGGTGACTACAGAAAAATCAATTTACCTCTTTGATCCTTTGTTTTTTCATTTGTGAAATGAGGGGGCTGGATTTCATCGACAGCTTTCAAAACTGTATTTTTTTTTTTTAAGTGAAGCTCTCTCTTTTTTTCTGAGATCAAGAGTTGGACACTTAACCGACTGAGCCACCCAGGCATCCTGAAAAGTGAAGATCTTTCAGCAAATGAAGTATTATGTTGAAATTCAATAATAAAATAGATACAGATAGAGCAAGGGCTAGATTTGGAGGAGGCATGAGTTCATCTACCTCCTGGGCCTCCTTCTAACCGTCATACTATTTCCAGGGAGCTTCTGAGGCATGTGAGGCCTTATAGAACATGATTTTCAAACTGTGCACTTGCTCATCTCTAACTTTATCCTGGTTTTCATATTCTATGTTAAAAAATATCTGTAGCCGCAAGACAAGGGCATTATTAGAATTATATTAGAAGAGAAATAAGGCCAAGGCTGATAATTCAAAGGAAAGGGGCATTAAATTGTAAAAGATATAATCAAATGACTTGACTGTGGGTAGTCAGGGGCATGTTCTTGATGTTAAGGATCCTGAAACTGGGTACTGGTTTTATAAGGTTGTAGCAATGTAGGAACTGGGCTTTATAATCATCGTTTTTGAAATCTCTTTTATTTTTGTAGTTAGTTTATTTAAATATGAGCATTATTTTAGTCTGACAATGCTATTCCAGTAATTGATTTTGTTTTCTTAAAAGATTCTTGATATTGAGAAATTAACTTTTATTATACGAATATGAGCAAAATATATTTTCTTTTTTAAAAATGTGCATTTTAGACAAATTGGTTCATCTTCATGTTATTCCAGTAATTGATTTTATTTTCTTAAAGGATTCTTGATATTGAGAAATTAACTTTTAATTATTATACAAATAGGATCAAAATATATTTTCTTCTTTAAAAAATGTGCATCTTAGACAAATTGGTTCATCTTCATGTTATTCCAGTAATTGATTTTATTTTCTTAAAGGATTCTTGATATTGAGAAATTAACTTTTAATTATTATACAATAGGATCAAAATATTTTTTTCCTTTTTTAAAAATATGAATCTTGGACAAATTGGTTCATCTTCTCTAAAACGTAAAAACTCAGATTGCACTGTTGCACCTCTTGGCTTAAAGACTCTTCCCGTGTCTGTATTAACCTATTAAACTCAGCCAGTGTCCCCCTGGCCCTGTGCACTGTTCCTGTAATTGACTCTGTCTCACTGGTTTAATTCTGGTGTGTCTGTGGCCACAAATCCTTTTCACTTACCTGCCTCCGCCTTCTGCTGCTTCTCAATTTTCTCCAGGCGCCCTAGCAAGGAGTCAATTTTCGTTTTGATCTGGGTTAATTCTTTCTTGATTGTCTGGAGCTCATCTGATTTCACTGGAAAGGGAAGAAGGGTAAGAAAGCAACAGAACGTCAGATGTACCATTACTCATGTAGAGCACAACTCACCGGCACCTTTCTCAAGACTGTGTCGAGTCACATAGGATACTTTTCAATCTTATCAGTTTCTCGTTACTTCCAGCGATCCTGGGATACCGGATGACATTGGCAATTACAGTGATTTTCAGTGACGTGAACATCTGATACTCAATCTTTTCACTGCAAGTTACAAAAAGGGATGGTGTAACCTGGAACTATCTTATCAAACAACTAAGTGATACTAAACTCAGTTTTCGCAAGCAGTAGAGTGACTCTGCCCTGTAAAATGGATTCAGATTGAAGAGTGATAAAATCATGATAGGAATGTTAATACTACTTTGAGGTCTATGTTGTGATACATATTTCAGTCGTCGGTGATATTTGTAATCTAGTTCCCTGGTGATTTGTTGAAACCAGGATATCATGTTTATCCTCTGAAGAAATGTCTTGGACGCTAGAGAACTCTAACAGAACTCTTGCTAAGTCACCCCCCCCCTTCTTTTTTAAATAAAAAGCGAGGCAATGGGCTGTACATGTCCCTTTTTAAGCGGTGGGGCTGGAGGGAGAAAATTCACCAAAGTTCCCACTGGTATTTTCTACAGTAGTGGTTCCCATTCCAAGTTTTTGGTATTTAGCATGGATTCAAAGACAAACAAGTAGGGATGAACACAAGATGGGCAATTTTTCTTTTTGCCAAGTATGGATGTTAAAAACAATGACAAACATCCTACTATCAATTATAATAATTATCTCATAAAGAAGAGGCTTAGGAAAAGGACAGTCTCCTATTTAAAGGGCAACCCTTTAAATGAAGTATATTTGTTTATGAAAAATTCACTATACTGTTCCTATTTTCTCATTTTTTCTGAGAACCATTTGGAAATGTGCCATAACCCACAATAACCAGAGATTGAGGATCTCGAAGCTATCGCTGCAGAACATCTGCATCTGCCTGGAGCTTTCAGTAGGTGGGGTTTCAGGGGTTCATGCTTCAGCAGAGCTGCTTCAAGATCTGGAGCACAGATCTTGATGTCAGCCTATTAATCCTTCTCTGTCACTTTTGCCTCAAGTTTATGATGATCTCAGCTTGGATATTCCCCAGAATTTTGGAAGATAATAAGCATTTAGCTGGATTCTTTAGTATTCAGAAACTTTATATCAATACTAAATGCAATCTATATTTGTTTGGAATAGGGCTATTTGTCAACGAAGATATATGATATAATATATATGATAACGTATGCATCAATATACATTCATTGCTCAAAGGAAGAACAGACTTTTTCTCAAGATAAAAATGAGAAAAAAAAACTTTATTATAAAATCAGAAATTTTTTTACAAAAAGCAGATTTTTATCTGTGATGCAACGTAGCTTGCAAAATAAAAACTGCAAGAATCCAGGGCCCTGTGGAGTGTTCCTATTATGAAGAACCAAACTGAAAGTAGAACACAGTCTAAAATAGAGAATTACTCCTTATGTCAATTATTTCAGAGACATCAAAGTGCCATTGTGGAACTGCAGCTAAATTTGAAAAACATCATCTGTCACAATTGCAAATTGATTCCACTTTGAAGAATGATTTTCATTTCCTTTGATGGAAGCACGTCATGTAGTTTTACTTAAACCTATCAAATTTAATAGAAAATATTTTATCTTATAACATTAGATTTCAACGCAGGAGAAATGGGACTGTGGCTAGATAGGATATATTTCTTAGTAAGTAGAGTCACTCCTCAGCTCAGGCATGCAGTTGACTAATTTTAATTTATTTATCTCCCTAAAAAAATAAACAAAACCCCCATTTTATAGAAGCTACATTTCAAACCACTGGAAACCTGGGCTTACCACATAGGTACTTACCTGTGTTCAGGAAGTCAAGGTTGGCTTTAAGTCTAGACTCGTGTTTAGCACTGTAGGAACACTTTTTTTTTTTTTTAAGATTTTATTTATTTATATGAGAGAGAGAGAGAGAGAGAGAGAGTGCTCATCTTGAGCAGGGGGTAGGGACAAAGGGAGAGGGAGAAGCAGGTTCTCCCCTGAACAGGGAGCCCACTTCAGGGCTCCATTCCAGGATCCTGTGATCTTGACCTGAGTCAAAGGCAGATGCTCAATCAACTGAGAGCCACCCTGGCACCCCTGTAGGGACACCTTTTATGATCAAGTCAGATCATTATAACATTTGGGTTTAATTAGTTAATGGTATTTAAAATTAGAGACAACAAGGATCTGATATGCACAAGTTCTATTTGCCCTTTCCAGGAAATTCTGAACCCATTTCTAGCCCTGTGCAAATTGCCCATCTTCAATCTTGGAATGGCTAGCAGCAAAGGCTCATCAAGGTCCTGCAAAGCACCACTAGAAAATAGTTTTGGCTGGTTCTTGAGCAATTGTGAAAGCTGTTTTCTTACTGCACTTCACTGCTGTCCTTGGGAGAAGGCCTGCCACTTGCCTGGCCTAGTTGGCTATAGTCTTGTTTCTACCTTTCTTCAGTTGGATTCACTATCTACAGATTGGGTATAGTTCTGTGCTACTGTGTCCGGTTTCCAGATGAAATTCCTGGGATGATCCACCTCTATATCTGATGTGTTTCCTTCTTGAACTCTTCTCTGCCTTTTTCTACTTCTTTTTTGGCTCCTGTTAACAATATCTCTACTTCACTGTGGATTACATTAATCCCCTGCTCCATCAAAATAGATGTGTCTTTTAGTAGCATAGATTTCTAAACTTAGAACTTAAATTTTTGCAACTTTAATTTCTGATGCTTTTCCAAAAAATAAAAGTGAGTTCAGAATTAAGGAGAGCCTTAGATCTAAAGCTTCCCACTTCATTTTCCTTTCTTTTCACATTTTCTTTCCCCCTGTCCATTCTCTTCCCTCTTAATTGGGCTTCTGCCCTCAATTTGCCCAACCTATAGCATAGTGCCTTCATAGTAATATTATAAGTAATAAACCGTTCCTTTTGAACACTTCCAGAATGTCCCCATTTCTTTTTTTTTTTTTTTAAGATTTTATTTATTTACTCATGAGAGACACACACACACAGGGAGGCAGAGACACAGGCAGAGGGAGAAGCAGGCTCCATGCAGGGAGCCTGACGTGGGACTCGATCCCGGGTCTCCAGGATCAGGCCCTGGGATGAAGGCGGTGCTAAACTGCTGAGCCACCCAGGTTGCCCGAATGTCCCCATTTCTATAGGAAAAAGGCTGGAAACCCACATACCTGTGCACAAACCAAACTCTATAAACTGAGATCCAGGGCCTGCTCCATAGTATATTTCCAGCTGTACATTCCATTTCCTCTCAAAGCATGCTCTTCACTTGAACAGAAAAGCTTAGTGCTTAATCAAACAGTGCATGGAAGCAGGTAGATTCTAGTTCACATCTGTGTCCTTTTGAAGAGTCACTTATAATCACTAAGATTCGAGTTCAACATCTGTAATTTTCATTCTCTACCTCAGAGGTTTGTTATAAAAATGTAATGAGGTAATACACATAAAGCACTTAGCACCATGCCCAGAACATCATCAAAACCAATAAATGATAGTAGCAGAAGATACTATTTCTGTTACTATTATTATAATTGCTATTCTTTTTATTTATATAGTTATCCCAGCAAAGACTCTCTCCCCCCCAAATATGTCTATCAAAATCCAATATGCCTTTTAGGGGTTCATTTAAGTCTTCCCTCTCCTATGGATTCTTCTTTGACTAACCCCCAGGGGTGTATCTCTCCCCTGTAATTTACTTAATGGCATCTCATATTTACTGCTAGATACATACTATGTATTTTATTATTTAGAATGTCTACTTTTCATACTACATTGTGAGCTTCTTGAGAGTGAAGACCTGATTAGATATTGGTGAATTTCAATTTCAGGAGTCTTGCTTTTGAATGTTTTCTGTGTTTAATAAGCTCCTTCTTCCATTACTGATTGATGAGGCTTCTGATGCTTGCATACCATAAGGTCCTGGGCTTTGAAGTCTGTCCTCCTTAATTAGAAAATTATATTAACTGGTTTAAAAAGAGATCTTACATTAAGTCAGTAAATAGTGAAAACTTTCTGTCTCTCATTATAAACTAGATCCATAAAAATTATTTAAATTTCAGATTAATAAATTATTCTGATCTCTGAGAAGACAATATTTCAAAAAGAAGGAATTGTGGACAGTTATGTGAAGCAAGACATATTAATGAATTTATCCCATCATAGGCTCTCAACAACCAAACTCTTTTGAATGGAGAGAAAACATCCAATTCATTCTATTTCTTCCTTCCTTCCTTCCTTCCTTCCTTCCTTCCTTCCTTCCTTCCTTCCTTCTCTTCTTTCCTTTATTCCTCCCTTCTTTCTGTCTTCCCTCCCTCCCTCCCTTTGTCTTTCTTCCTCTTTATCTTTTTTTCCCTCCCTTTCTTTTTCTTATTCTTTTTCTCCTCGCATACTTAACAGAATTCAGCTCAGTGTCTTAAACACAGCAAGAAATTAGCAAATTTCAGAAGATCTGTAGGTATGTGTATAAGTAGGTAGGTCACTGGATGCAGTTGCAACCCAACCAACAAATCTTAATTAAAGCTTTGTGTATGTATCAGACACTAAATTGGTATTGACTGTCTAATGGAGAGACAGATAAGCAAACAAGAAGTTCAAGAAGAAAATTAGTATGGAAGCATACCCTTTCTTAATCAGAAGCATTATGATAGAAGAGTAAGAGAAGGACACATGCCTTTGGCAGCCACATTTTTGTATTTTTCCCTATTTACACCTCAGTTCTTCAAAATCCAATATCCTCATTTTCCAAGACACATTGCATAGAATATAGTGCCTTTATTTTTATATAGAGTATTAGATCACAAAAGTCAGAAGTATTTTTTACTAAGAATAATATGGACTAATTTTAATGAACTTGCTGTTACATAGTTGTTATGTACAAGTGACCCAATGTAGACAACCTAGGGGCTTGGG